CCCCAAAACCCCAAAACCCCAAAACCCCTTAGAGGGAAAATTATAAAAATTAGTAAAATAATTAAATACTAATAATGAATACTTTTTTAACAGACTTTGAACATGGCCACTTACACTCTAATCAGCGATAAAGGCATGTTAATTTTAAGGATAAGTTTTCCTCTACCAACCTTATTGATAATGGAAACTTTTCTTCCCCTTACATTGACTTTTATTTGAATAATATGGGAAGATTAACTGATTCTATTGATAAAAAACTATTAAAGTTGTAGTTAAAGCGAAGTCGAAAAGTAAATTACAACAGTCAATCAAAGCAATCGAATAGAGTGAGTAAAAGTTAAAATATAGGCAAAAGACCATTAACAAATAACTCGTTTTGTTTTGATAATAAAAATAAAGAGCAGCAATTTTTAAATAAAACTGATATGACTACTTAAATAACAGTGAATTGCTCTTCTATAATGGATAGTATGGAATTCAAGAATACTCTTTCACATTCTTCATAACCTAGAAATATGAGTTAACAATCAAGAAGGGCATTTACTAGAGATAGAGAAGGGATTGATTTCAGAAGGTAGATATTTGAAAGAGCAAATGAGATCAAAGAAAGATAAATGAGATAATACAGAGAGTAATTGCAAATGAAATACAGTGGAATAGTTAATCATGGTAATTTTAAAACTTTTATACAATTATTAGACATAGAAGTCATTGAGAAAATACCAGCAAGTATTGCCAACTCATTAATCAAAGAAAATTTCATAAAAATGAGGAAGAATTTAGTATAGAGAACCATTTAGGCAGAACTCATGAAAAAGAAATTCTAAGAATTCAATCTTCCAAAGGTAAATAGTTAATGAATTAATATAATAGTTGATGGATTAACTCAAAAAGGAATCTAGAGGCCAGTCGAGATAAAAACTCAACAAATAAGAGTTAATTATGGGGTCATTAACACTTAAAAATATTAATACAAAGTAGTATCTAGATTGATAAACAAATTTAAAATCGGTTGATAGTAATTAGAATATGTTTTTAGATAAATACCTATAATATTACTGTATGAAATTTCGTGAAAAATTAATTTAATCTATGATTTCAATATTTGAGATAACTTCTAACATTTAATGAAGGGGTTTTGGGGTTTTGGGG